GGTGCAGAATTCCCAAACAGGATCATTCCTTTTCCACTCACACCCTGGCAATACCTCAGATTGCTCTCAGGTAAGCTGAGCACAGAAAACGGGTGGAGATGGAGTTCTGAACAGCGATGATGCCCCACGAATTTATAGAGATGATGGTTAATGCCACGGATCTCAAGGAGAGAGAAGATTCCTCCCCAACTTAGGGAAGTGCCACTTCTCTGAGTCCTTGTGTCACGCCTCAGCGCTGGCAGGAATTGGAAATAAATGAAGGCTGCAGATGAAACCATTTCTCTTCCCAGCCCACCCATCATTTATTTCCTCAGCCCCACTTTGCCAAAGCTGCTGTGTTTGAGACAAATTGTGTTTAATTAGGAGGAGGTGGAGACCTTTAGGCAACGCTCTTCAATCAAAGTGCCTCGAGGAACTAATCATGGAAATGCAAGAGCAGAAGGGCTGGGAGCTGTCCCCGCTGGTGACTGATTGTCAGAGGGGAGGGCTCCTGCTGCAAAAGCTCTCCTCATTTCAACCCATGCTCAACACACTCTGGAAATGCTGTTTGTGGTGGGGGCATTGCACTGCTCTATAAATATTGAGCTCATCTGGGTATGGAATGAAAAAAAAAAGTATAAAAAACAGAGCAATTTTCAGTGAGTATTGATAAAAAATGTTACTACCCTAAAAAGCACAATTATCTTTTTTTATGATCAATACTTAGGATGCAAGATGTTCAACCACACAAAGGAGTTTGCTGGAAATAATTTTGGAGATGTTCAGGGTTGGTTTTAGTTTGAAATCAGGAATTTGGGGTGTGGCATTCAGTGTTTGGGGGATCAGTGCTGTTTCCAGGGCTGAGGATGGAAACAGTGCCTGGGTTTGCCAGGGAGGTGAGGGGAAACAGTGCCTGGGTTTGCCAGGGAGGTGAGGATTTGTTTTAGCAGGGATGGAGGGACAGGACACAGGGAATGGCTCCCAGCACCAGAGGGCAGGGCTGGATGGGAATTGATTGTGGAATTCATTGGGGAATTAATTGTGGAATTGATTATGGAATTCATTGTGGAATTGTGGAATTCATTGTGGAATTCACTGTGGAATTAATTGAGGAACTGTGAAATTAATTTTGGAATTGGTCTGGGCAGGTCCTGCTGCTGCCAAGGATGGGCTGATGGAGGGGACTGATTGGGGAATTCATTGGGGAATTGTGGAATTCATTGTGGAACTGTGGAATTGCAGAATTCATTGTGGAATTGTGACATCCATTATGGAACTGTGGAATTCACTTGTGGAACTGGGGAGCTGTCAGCCCAGCCAGGACCTCCCAAGTCACATCCCTGACTAAAATATCCATCCCCCCTCCCAACACACTGGGCTGCATTGAGGAGGGGTCTCCACCTGCCTTAACCCTGTGAATCCTGGAGCCAGGTGAGCCCAGGTCCCTCTGAGCCTTCTTCTCCCCTGGCTGAGCATCCCTGGTTCCCTCAGTCTCCTCCTGCAGCTGCTCCCCAGCCTGTGGCCACACACCCTGTCCAAAAAGGGAAGGTTTAGATTAAAAACATTGTGCAAAAAGGGAAGGGTTTGCTTTAAAACATTTACCTTAACATTAATGTTTTAATTTAACATTAAAAAGAAAAAGCCAAATGACTGCAAAGCACTCTCCATGCTGGACCCCCGCACCAAATTTCCTTGGGAGTTTAATTCCTCTCTCTTCCTTGTTTATTATCTCATTTCTCTGGCCTTCTGTTAATCCATTTTCTGAATAAATGTTTATTTGCTGCTTTATTTAATTTTTCCCCTGACCTTCACAGCTCCACGTGATCTGGGTGGGAGGCATGAGCTGCTGAAGTGGGGAGTCACTCTGTGATGGGTTTAATGTGCACTCCAGGCTCAGCAGAGCAGATTTTAAATGCCAAATCTGCTCCTAGATCAGAGTCTTCAGAGGTGTGGGAAGAAACACGGATGCAAAACAAACATTTTTAAATTCCTAATAAATATTAACATTGCATTGTGATGCCGCACACATATTGGAGACATAATTAATAAATTCCGCAGATTTCAGTGATCTGAATGTAATGATCCCTATCAGGCAGTAAATAGCAGAAAAATTAGCTGCATACTGATACAGCAGAAATCCTGATTTGTCTCAAACTGCGAGGCTCCAGAAATGCAGTGGGAGCCAATTTCTATCCCTGGCAGGACGGTGTTCCTGGGAAATCACTGCCAATAATAACATCCACGGTTTGCCATCAGCCCCAGATCAGACTGCATCACTTGTGTCATCTGACAGGATTACACTGAGCAGCAGGGCTGCAGCTCCCTGCCTATTTGGGGGTTATTTTAATTAATGGACCTCGCAGATCCATTCCTTGTCTAATTCTGGTTTGGAAGTGCATCAGCGCTGTGACCTGCTCAGTGTCATTGTAATGAGACTTACAGACATCCTCAACGAGCTTTGATTTAATTTCCTCGCTGTAAAGCCCAGATTAAAGGAGAGCCCAGTCAATTAGGAATGGAACAAAGCTCGTCCTTAAGAGGAAATCACTTAATCTGCACTCTGTAAGTCTGGAAAATTCTGCACCTTCTACCATGTCACAGCTCCAATCTCCCATCAGAAAGACTGGAAAGTTCCTGGTGGGAAGGCCCAGAATGCAGCAAAAGCCTGCACAGTTCTTGTGGTCAGATCTTCGTGGCTTCAGCAAAACCAGGGCGAGAAAGCCCAGTTGGACAGCACTTGGGTTAGGGGACTGGAGGAGCCCCAAAGCAGGAGGAAACTACACAATAAATGTGTTTTAGTCCTCTCTGTGAGCAGCTCAGATTCTCCAGGTGCACACAGAGTGGCTGGAACAGCATCATTAATTTTTAAAAGCACCAGAAAAAAACCAATTTTGTCTCCTTTGCAAACTGCCAGGAGCAAGCTCAGCCTTCCCTTGAGCAGGAGCATCCATCTTCCAGGAGCTCTCTGCACACACACAGGGAAATGCTGCTCTGCACACACTCAGGAAAATGCTGTTCTGTACATACACAGGGAAATGCTGCTTTTTCTTGTGGGGTCTGGAACCCAGGGGAGGTTCTGCAGTGTCCCTTGGGCCCTGTGTGTGCTGTGTCCCTGCTGGTGGCCCCTGTGACCGTGTTCACAGGGGTTTTTGGATGAGGGAAGAGATGAGGATCTGACTCCACGTTTCAGAAGGCTGATTCATTATTTTATGATATATATTACATTAAAACTATACTAAAAGAATAGGAGAAAAGGTTTCATCAGAAGGCTGGCTAAGAATAGAAAAAGAAAGAATGATAACAAAGGCTCTGTTTTGGACTCTCTGTCCAAGCCAGCTGGCTGTGATTGGCCATTAATTAGAAACAACCACATGAGCCCAATCCCAGATGCACCTGTTCCATTCCACAGCAGCAGATAACCACTGTTTGCATTTTCTTCCTGAGGTCTCCCAGCTTCTCAGGAGGAACAATCCTAAGGAAAGGATTTTCCATAGAAGATGTCTGCTGGTGGCCCCAGCCCGCTGACAGCCCTGTCCCTCTCGTTGCAGTGTCCCCCAAGATATTCCGGATCTCCAGCGACATCGTGGTGAACGAGGGCAGCAACGTCACCCTGGTGTGCCTGGCCACGGGGAAACCAGAGCCCTCCATCTCCTGGAGACACATCTCCCCCTCTGGTGAGTGCCTGGGGTGGGCACAGGGACAGGGACACCAGGGCTGTGCCACCCCTGTGCCCTGAGTGAGCTCTGGGATGGGGCTGGCAGGGCTGGGGGGGTGCCCTGGGGGGCTCCTGGAGCAGAGCTGGGCAGAGGTACAGGAATAAAGGGGGCATTTATTAAAGGCATTCACAGGATAAACCGTGGGCAGTGCAAGAGCCTGGCCATGGGTCTACACCAAGATGGACAATGAGTCACAAGCTCTCACACTTTGGAAGTTTTTGTCCATTTCCCTGTTGGGGTTAATTGTCCAATCCCAGCTCCAGGTTCTGCAGTCCCACCCTCCCAGTTTCTCTCCTCCATTCCCTGCTGTTTGCACTTTTGGGGCTGAAGCTGCAGCAGTGCCCTTGGTTCTGGCCTGGAAAAGGATTGTTGTGTGTGCCTGAGCTGTGAGGAAAACTTGCTAACGTTTATATGGAGTTTAGAGTTGTACACCAATGCAGTGCAGAGTCTGGAAAACATGAAAGCTCAAGCTGAAGGCATCACCACAACACAGGAATGAGGACAGAGCACCCTAAATATGGATATATGTCTCTACATGTGTTGTAATCACAGTCATGGATCAAACAATTCCAGTTACAATCCCAGCTAGGATGAAATGAGGAGTGCATGGGGCTCCCTAGAAATGGGAAATGAGAGTTAGACACAGGAACAGGCCATGCAGTAGGTTTGGTTTATTCTCATTTCTTCCACTGCTACAGGGTGGGATTTTGGGGTGTCAGGGTTGGGATTTATGGTCCTGGTGGGTCCCTCCCTCAGGAAATTCCATGGTACAGTTTATCAGAATGGTTTTGCTGAACAAATTAAATGATGTGTGTATAAATTGTGAAGCAAATGGCAACTGAGAGCATCCCTGCTGTTGGATATTTCCATGCATCTCTTTGGCTCCTCAAAGTACATTGAAAGGAAAGTTTTGGCCAATGTCAGGGCCACTGCAGCTGCTCCCTGTGAGCAGAGCAGGGGCCATGGGGAGGTCCTGCCCTGGCAATGAGGATTTTGTGCTGCCCAGGCCCTGCCTCTGTCACTGGGATTTTGCATTGAGAGATTTGCAGTGAGGGATTGCTCTGCTCCCCCAGCCTGTGTAAATCCTGTAATTACAGACCAGAAGGGTTCCGTGGGCTGCCACAGCCTCTCATCATCCCGAGGAACAGTTGGCTTTACAAAGCAAGATCTGGGAAAAAACCCTCACTTCTGACCTTTAAAACAATGACAATGAATTCGGCCTGAAGTGTCCATCAAGGGACTAGAGGAAAAATTCAGTTGTAGCAGAAAATGGATTTTAACTAAATGTCAAATAAAATTTTATTGGAAGCCCTGGTGATACTTTGGATTAATGGCTTAAAGCGTTTGAGTGGCTGCAGGAAGGAGCTGGGGTGATGCTCCTGGAGAGGGAGGAGAGAGAAGGAGAATTATTGCATTCAGGCTGCAGCAGGGGCCGAGGGGGAGCAGAGCATCCTCATCTGGAGCTCACGCAAAATAAATAAATGCAGAGGTGACACCTGGGGACATGGCCAGGTGTATCCAGGGGCTCAGAGGCACTTGCCAACCCAAATGAACCTGTGGAGATTAATGCAGGGACTCAGAGGGGCTGTCAGTGACCCCCTGGATGTGCTCCTTGCTCCCAGCCCCATCCAAGCCCACCCTGGGCATTCTCACCATCCCAGATCTGGGATTCTGTGCCCTGGGGATGCACAGACACAGCAGGGGCTGGGGAGGGAGAGCACAGGCTCCAAAGGGCTCAGAAACCCTGTCGGATGTGAAGGGAGCAAGCCCAGTGCTCACTGTAATTCAAAGTGACTCCGATGAGGGGGAGAGAATGATGAGGAGACTCCATGGGTATCAGAAGGCTGATTATTACTTTATTATACTATACTATATCCATTTCATCCAGACTGGATCTGCCCAGCACTCACCCTGCACACACTGCACAGAATCTCTCAACACAGACACAGCTGGCCCTGATAGCCAAGGAAATAAAACACCATCACTGGATAAACAACCTCCACATTGCATTCTGCTTTGGCACATCACAGTGATAAGAATTGTGTTTTCCCTTTCTCTGAGAACGTGAATCTCAGAAATGCTTTGGAAGAGCTGTTCCTTGCTCTTCTCTGTGAAGAGAAATGTGGCAGCAAGGGCTGGCAGGGGCTGTGGTGTGCCCAGAGCAGGTTCAGTGCCCAGGGCACACAGGTGTGCACAGGTGTACACACACCACAGGTGCACCACAGCCCTCGCAGCAAACCCAGCCTGGCGCCACCAAGCCAGGGGAAATCTGAGAGCCCGTGGTGTTGGTATTCTGCCTGCAGCTCCTCTCCTCCCTCAGCCTCATCTGCACTTGCTAATTCCTGCCCGTTCTGGCTGTAATTCCCAGCGGCACTAATGAGGCTCCCGGGCAGGCAGCGCATCTCCCATCCAGCACTAAATTATATTAACCAAGCATATTTAGAATATTCTCAAATTGTTTGTCAAAGCTGCTGCTAAAAGATAAGGAACTGAAATCTCTGAATACAAATGACTCAATGTAGACTAATTCCAGGATATGATCATGATTTACATCAACACAGCCTCGACTCGCATGAGGTCGGATTCAATTTTTCTGAACAAGAGATAAATTGAACCTTTCGTAGGAATAAAAATAAAATGCATTTCAAGGTGATTTTTAAACTTAGTCCGTAAATTATTGGCCCAGAATCTTTATTGTGCATGTTTAACTTGCAGTCATTATGTAAATGCTGGCGTTCTATAAATATTCATTACACAGCCCCATTATGTAAATCCAGCAAATCTCCCCACTCAGCGTAACAGCATCGGGGCTGCGGGTTGTAATCTCCAAATCTGTATTGTTGAAATGTCACCCGAATAAATTGCAGGTATTACTTATTTTGTTCTGACATTTCCCAGCAAAGTGCAGCATCGATAGTTTAGCAGTGGAGGCAGAATGTGAAAGGATGAAGCTCTGCCAGGGCAGAACTTCAGCTCTGCCGTGTGCCACCAATGCCTGGTGCGGAGCACTGCTGCTGTTTGAGGGAGGGATTGAGCAAAGCCTCCCCAAACCCCGAGCAGCAAACCCAGCCCTGTCAGAGCCCCCTGCCCCTGGCAGAGAGGAGGAGGGCTCTGCTGGAGTGCCAGTGCTTCAAACCTGCATGTTCAGCCTGCAAATCCCCAGCTGACAGGAATTATTATCGGATTTCCAGGGCTTTGCCTGTGTACAAAGGGCCAACCCTTCAAATGCTCCCTCTCCTGCTTACAGATGGCTTTAAAGCTGGAAGTTTTAGAAGGAAGTTTCTGGCTTGGTTCTTTTTTCTTGCTGACTCCCAAGCAGGGAGCAGGTATTGCTGGGAAGGATGTTGGTGTTGTTTTCCCCCAGCTGGGGAGGATATTGCTGTTGTTTTCCTCCAGACCAGAGCAATTGTGCACTGTGGACCCCTGAGCAGAGAGGAGCGACTCTGCCTCCTTTAAAATATTAACATTAAATTAATATTTTAATTTAACATTAAAAAGGAAAAATGTTAGGCACGTGGGCACACCTTTGGAGGAAGCTCTGGTCAGCTGGAGGCATGGATGAGCAATATTCCCTGGAAAACACCCAAAACCTGCATGCCTTGGGACATGGGATTGTGATGGTGTTCTCAGGGGTGCCAGGATGAGGGCAGAGACGAGGATCTGACTCCATGGTTCAGAAGGCTGATTTATTATTTTATTATATATTACATTAAAACTATACTAAAAGAATAGAAGAAAGGATTTCATCAGAAGGCTAGCTAAGCTAAGAATAGAAAAAGAAAGAATGATAACAAAGGTTTGTGGCTCGGCTCTCTATCCGAGCCAGCTGGCTGTGATTGGCCATTAATTAGAAACAATCACATGAGCCCAATCACAGATGCACCTGTTGCATTCCACAGCAGTAGATAACCATTGTTTGCATTTTGTTCCTGAGGTCTCCCAGCTTCTCAGGAGGAACAATCCTAAGGAAAGGATTTTCCATAAAGGATGTCTGTGTCAGTGGGATGGCTCAGGTGGCCTTGGCTCCCCCAGCAGCCCTTGCAGGGAGCAGTGACATTCATGGGGCACGGCTGGTGACATTCATGGGGCACGGCTGGTGGCCTGCCTGGGTCAGCCCTTCTGCAGCCTCTCGGGGAGCTGAGGGTTTTTATGAGTGTTTGATAAGAATTTCATGGCCCGCTGGTTATCCTGGAGGGATTGTTCAGCTGATGAAGGCATGGCTTGTCATTAAATCAATGGTGCCTGCTATCAAACACGGGGATTAATTAACAGTTTAAAGACAGCCGAGCCCCCAATGGACACGGCTGGGTGGGATTCCTCCCTTTGCCTTTGGATCAGCAATAAAATCACTCCCAACACGACCTCCCAAGCCACAGCTCTGTGTGGAAAAGGCCATGTCCTCTGGGCTCAGTTATGGGGATTTTGGCCTTTTCTTTTTAACAGGACTGGTAGGTACCAGCCTCAGGAGGGTTGGCATCAGGCTCCAATTGAGTGACATCAGTGCCAGAGCCACTGCTCTGGTGAGGTGACATTCCTCTGCAGCTGGGTGTCCCTCAGAAAGGGCCCTTTCTACCACGACATTGCAGACCTTCGAGCATCCCTTCAGGAACAATTAAAGGCATTCCTAGAAATCCTCTGGCCTTCTTGAAATCCTTTACAGAATTCACTTTAAAATACACTTGTCAGGAGAAGAATACTCCACCTAAGATGGACAAATAATTGGAGCTTTGTGGAGGAACTGAGGGACAAGAGTGAGATCAAAATCTCAGTGAGACACAAACTAAAACTGCCCAAAAGCGTGGCACAGAAACGAGCAGGATCTTTTTCTTTTTGACAGTTTTATGATAAATGGGAAGCATTTCTTGCTTTTCAATAAAGGCAGATGAACTCATTAATAACTAATAGAATGCAATGAAAATGAGAGTTTTAAATGCAGGCTGAGCTTATTCCCACAGATATCAGCTCATTTTTACCTGAGAAATGTTGCACTTTTGAAGGAGCAGTGTGTGGGTCTCAGGAGATATGTCCAGAGCTCCAATTATCAGAGCCAACCCAACGTTTCCCCTTTTTCCAGAGGCAGCCAAGCCCAGGCTTGTGCAGATGCACCAATAATTCACCCCTTGATGGCCAGGACATAGCAGCTCTGCCTTGTCCCTGCTGCCCTCGTGGGTTTTTCCAGAGCTCCCCAAGGCACAGTTATTAACAGCCAATTAAAGGCTTTCAGGCTGGGAGAACACTTCCAGCAAGGCTTTTAAACCCTCAGACCTATAATTTCCAGCACCTGTGGTGGTGGCTGCTGCGAGAGCTGTGCTGCAGTAATGATGGCGCTGATCTTTTTGGGGTTTGTGGTGTGGTGAGCGCCTTGTGAGGAACCCAAACCTGAAAATTGGCCATGGAGAGGCTGTGAGCACAGCTGGGAGCAGGAGCAGCTCCAGGTGAGGGACACCAAACACTCCCTGCCAGGTGGGAACAGCAGGGGCTGGGATTTTGGGAGCTGGGGAAGCACCTCTGCCCATGTCAGGGGGGAACAGATGTGTTCTGGAACAATTCCTGATGGGCTCCAGTGTTCTGGAACAATTCCTGATGGGTTCCAATGTTCCTGGAACAATTCCTGATGGGTTCCAGTGTTCCTGGACCTGGGTCAATGTTCTGGGACAATTCCTGATGGGTTCCATTTGAGCTGGGTCAGTGTTCCTGGCTGGGAACTATTCCCAGTGTGTTCCAGGGCACGGAGCAGGCACACACACCAGTGTTTCTGTGTGGCTCTCTGTCCTCTCCCAGCAGGGAGATCTCTGCCTGTCCTTATTCCTGTGTGACACCCAGATCCTCTGGGTGCTGTGGCCAAGGAGAGCTGTTAATTACTGGATCCAGTTAATTGTTGGCTGGGATCAGCTGCCCCAGGGGTGGCTTTGGTCCCTGCAGCTGGCCCTGGGCTGGCTGTGCTCCATCCTGCAGGGCAGCTGGGCTCTGCAAACCATCAGGGATGCTGAGCTCTGGAGGCAGGAAGGGTGCAGTGCTGGGCTGGTTTGGGTTGGAGGTCATTTAGAGTTTATCTTGTGCACTCTGCCATGGCAGGGACACCTTCCCCTGTCCCAGGGTGCTCCAGCCTGGCCTGGGACACTTCTGGGGCAGCCAGCTCTGTTCTGTGGCAGCCATCAGGTACAAATTACCCTGGTGTATCTCAGGGCTGTTGAGCTTCTCTGTGGAGCTGGGTCAGGAGAGAGCCTCTGGCCAGCCCCAGGAGTCTGGGGGTGTCACCTGCCCTTGGAGCTGGGGCTGCTGCAGTGGCCGAGCGTGTCAAACTCTCTGCTGTGCAGATGCTGGGTTTCAGGGGCTGTGTGCCCAGCCTGCAGTAATCTCCTCCTGTGGCTTTCTCATTGCAGCCAAGCCCTTTGAGAGCGGGCAGTACCTGGACATCTACGGCATCACCAGGGACCAGGCTGGGGAGTACGAGTGCAGCGCGGAGAACGACGTCTCGGTGCCGGACGTGAGGAAAGTCAAAGTCACAGTCAACTGTAAGTGCTGCCATTTGTTATTGCCTCCGTGTGGTGCAGCAGCAGGCTGGAGCTGCTGGCCTGGTCGCAGCAGCTGAGGGGGCTCTGCTCTGTCACCTGGCTGTCACCAAGCGAGACTGTCACTCTGGGTGATCTGACAGCTGCTGGTGGCTGCTCTGGGTGTTGGGCTGAGCCCTTCTGGTTTCTGTCGTTGTGGTGATGCTGTAAGTGATGTGAGGTGATGAGAAGCTCTGCCTGGGTCCCTGGATGGGGCCTGATCCCCATGGAGTGTGAGCTGCTCCCCGAGGAGGGACAGAGGGACCTGCTGTGGGGACCTGCTGGGTGCTGGTGCCACCAGCAGCTCTGACCTGCTGGGATCTCCACACCAGGGACGTGCTCCCAGCCTGGGTCTGAGTCTGATCGAGCACTCAGCGTGATATGAAATGTTCTTTTCCCCTCCAACTTGTGAGAACATGCAGGCACGAGGATGTGAATACTTTCTCTTGTTTGTTCTGACAGTTTTCTTTGGTTAACCTCAATTTTACCCAGCGTGTGATTTGTTTCTGGTTTTGGAGTCACTGTGGCAGCTTTAGTGGTCACAAATATGAGATGTCAGCGTTGTGTCTCCCCCAGAGGCCCTGTCCCAGCTGCTGTGGCAGCAAAGCCCCTCATGCCCTGTCACTGTGGGGCCACTGCTGTCCCCTGGGCATTCCCTGCTGCCCACACTGCTGTGGTTCATGGGGCCAGGGCTCCTTGGGGGACACTGCAGTGACGCTTCTGGAGGAGCTGGATGATGTTCCAGGGGCACCAATGCAGTGGCACTTCATTTTCACAACAAGCTGGTAAGAGCAAGGCTCCCTCCCCAGAAATTCCTTTTATTTGATGCCTGTAGATGTGGGTTGGTGGTGCCTTTGGCAGTGCTGGGGGAAGCTTGGACTTGATGTCTTGGGGGGCTTTTCCAACCTAAACAAATTCTGTGTTTTCTTTTCTTCTGCTGCTTCTCTCACCCACTCCTGGTGCCATTCTGTGACTGTATTCCTGGTGCCATTCTGTGACTGTATTCCTGGTGCCAGTCCATGATGGTGCTCCTGGTGCCATTCAATTATTGTACTCCTGGTGCCATTCCATGACTGCATTCCTGGTGCCATCCATGGCTCCCCTCCTGGTGCAGGGCGCTGTTGGCACCTGGATGTTCATGGCACACAGAGGCTGTTCAGTCTCCCAGGCAGGGACACAAAATGCCCAGGTGTAAATGACTCTGTGAAACTGAGGTTTCTGGGCTGGGCATCTTCCAGCCCTGCACACACAAGGAGCTCCTGGCACACGTGGGGGCTCTAATGGCTTACAGGGGGTTCATTACACTGCTCCATACACCAGCAGCTGCATTTTCTACTCAGTTTGTGTCTGCCCTCCCTAATTTCCCTTGGAATAAGGGTGGCTTGAGAATCTGCCTGAATCCCAAAAGTCTGGGGAGGCAGAAATGGAGAGGAGCCATTGGAGCTGCTGGCTGGTGCTGAAGGAATGCTCCACCAAATCAAGTTAAAATAGATAAGATGTAATCCAATTTCGTTGCACAAGTAAATCCTATTAGCATTTTCCATTACATTTTGCAAAGCAAATACTGATTTATAGATTATAATATTGAACCCTGCTTTGAATGAACCAGTGTGTGGATTTAATGTGTCATCTGAAAGCTGGTCTGAAACTCTCCAGGTGCTACTGTCACTTTGCTCGTTCTCTCCTGCTCTATTACTGTCATGCTTGAAAAAATATCAAAGGCAGCTGCTAAATCCTAGAATTTCCACTAGAGCTGAGGCCACAGTGAGGGGATGAGGAATGGGATGTGTGCCTCAGGAAACTGGCATTTATTTGCATTTATTTCAAAGTGTCAGCTGTCTAAATAAATAGAAAATGTGGGTTTACAGCGGAGTGGCATTGCAGAATTCCCTTTTGTTAGGATAATCCGTGTCAAGGGTCAGTTTGCCTGTAATTGTACCTTGGACAGCTCTGTTGCAGCTGGAGCTGTCAAACTTGACTGAATCAAGACCCAGTGGTGGCTTTGGGGAGGGAAAGGATGTTTCTGAACTCGTTCCTGGGTGGTTTTGTCCAGTTTTCAGGGCACATTTTCCATTTCCCTGGGTGATTTTGGGGTCCTCAGCTCTGGTTTTGGGTCCCTGAGCCCTGCCCTGCAGAGCAGGTGGGAGCAGGGCAGGGCAGGGCTTGGCACAGCCCGTGCCCACCTGAAGGCACTGTGAGCCCAGCTGCAGTGCTGGGCTGCCCAGTCCATCCCTGGGATCCTGCTGGCCAAGCTGTTCTCCTCACGTGCTGCAGGTGCTCTGACAGCCCTGTCACAGCATTTACAGGGCTGTGCCTGGCACTCCCTGCCTGCCTGGGACGGCTTCACCCTGGCAAAGCTGTGCTGCCTGCCCAGGACTCAACTGCAGCCCTGCATTTGCTTAATGCAGCCTTTTAGGAAGTTTCTGAACCTCATTGGGCTGATTTAGCTCGAATCAGTTTGGTTTATCCAGGTGTTCACTGTGTTGTTCTTGCCTTGTCCTAACCTGGGGCACAAACCAAAGGGTTGGGGTCACTGGGTTGGTGAAATCCTGTGTTTGGAAGGATTCTGGAAATGCTCTCAGGAAAAGCTTGTGGGGGTGTCCTGTGCAGGGCTCAGGGCTGGACCATGATCCTCATGGATCCCTCAGCTCAGCAGATTCTGTGATTTAGCCCTTCCCTTTTCATGCACGTGCTTTGTGTCCTTCAGCAAATCATTTCAATTTGGGTTTTAGGTGCTTTATTCCCAACCTCATTGGATTTTCCTGTGCCTCTGGAGCCCGGGGCTGTGTGCTGGGAGCAGGTTCCTCATTCCCTGGGATGTCCCAGCCCTTCCAGGAGCTCTCAGCCAGCCCGGTGGGGTTTGGGGGTCTGTTACAGAGGCAGGTCCTGTGCCCTTCCCGTGGGATGCTTGGATCGATCAGGGATTGCTCTGGGATGCTTGGATCAGGAATTTCTCTGGGATGGTTTGATCAGGAATTTCTCTGGGATGGTTTGGTAAAGAATTCCTCTGGGATGCTTTGATTGATCAGGGATTCCTCTGGGATACTTTGATCAGGGATTTTTCTGGGATAGCTTGGTCAGGAATTTCTCTGGGATGGTTTGATCAGGAATTTCTCTGGGATGGTTTGGTCAGGCATTTCTGGCAGTGGGGTTTTTCTGGTGCAGGGATGTGTGAGTTCTCGTTAGGAATTTTAAGTGGGGTGTTTGTTTTCGCTTGGCCAGGCCGGGCTGTGCTGAACAGCTCCCCTCATTAGCATTTCTCCCCTCATTAGCATTTCTCCCCTCATTAGCATTTCTTCGAAGGCTCCTCGCTGTTGCTATGGTGCTTTGCATAACATTATGGATAATGCTGCGATTTTACTTTGAAATCAGAAATCCCGTATGAGCCACGCCGGCCTAATTAAATCTGTAACCTTAAATCTCCTGGGGAAAAGCCCTGCAGGACCTGGGGCTTGCTGGGCTGCCAGTCCCTGGGACATGGCACTGAGACTTTGCCCAGGAGGTGTGCCCCATTCCTGACCCGGGATCAGCATTTCCTGGGCAGGGTCTTGAGCTTGGATCCAAGAAGGAAAATTGCCTCGGTTAAATTATTAACTGTGAAGGCAAAGCCCACATATTTTCTGGAGGTCTCAGTCCTCCTCTGCTTTGGCACCAAGTCTAAAATTGCTCTGAGCAATTTAATTTTAATTCCCACTTTAATAAAAGAGAGGGGAGGAGGGGGGGTTATCTCAAAGCAGAAACCAAGAACTCTGATTCTTTCTGGTTTTAATGGGTCCTGATTTGCTGCTCCATGTTTACATCCATAAGTTTAAGGTTAAGGTCAGCCCTGTCCTTAGGAGCCAGGCTTCACTCCCAGGGGTTTTGCTGCTTCCCCAGCAGCATTCCAGAGGGGAATGAGTGGCACTGGGGGCACTGAGTGGCACTGGGGACTCCTGGCACTCTGCTTGTGGCTGGCTCTCTCCATGGAGCAGAGCAGGGGCTCCGTGCCCAGGGGGGTTTGCCTTGCTCCGGGGTGTGTGGGTGCT